TCTGTGATAATCGGCACCTCGACTTAGGGGTTGGTTTGTCGAATTTATATGATAATGGTAAGCATCTCACCAAGCAGAGATAGACGAACAAGTAGACATGGATAGAGTGAGATTTTGGGAGCAAGAGCTGGTTTCCATCATCATCAACCATGGACAAGCAAGCGGTCAAGCGGGCTTTTTCGGTGTCCAAGCTTCAGGTCAGATATCAACGATTCAAGGTATTAGTCTACATGACTCAACAAGCACCAATGGTGCAATTGGATATCGACAAGCAGCCATGTCTGAATGGAGAATGCAACTCATACCAGGCAGCATTGTTTCGAGGAAGTAAGTTCTTGCGTGTTTGCAGCTTGTTCCAGTACGCGCAATCACGTCTGTCGTATAGAATGATAAATACTAGGTAGCATGAGTAGTACCCCGCCAGCCAGTTGTATCATCATGAAACATTCGTTAGTAGGTATGTCCCGTCGACATAATGGTACAGTACCGCAACGATTGCATGAGAATTCTGATATGCAAAACGCCATTTTCTTACAAACAAACAATGCATACTCCTCGGTTTGCATGCATGATTGCAGTATCAATGTAGCATCAATGCAGTATTAGATGCTAATCGACAACTCGAACCCTTGATCGACACTCTTATTGGATGGTCATCTTTTGTACCTCTATGAGTCAACTTGCCAAATCGGCCTTCACCTTTACGCTGCCGAGCGAACACGAATCACTGTTGTGATGCGATTCACGAGCGTTTGCCGGCAAGAACTGAGTGACTGGAGGACGGTATGTATGTTTTCCACGCGTCTCTTTGTTGCAGACAAGAGTCTCGGTATCATCAGCTGCGACAAATCGACAAACACAAAAGCTCCGCTGTTGTGTTCTGTACATGTCATGGATGCCAGCCAGGTCGTACCATTCAAGTACTTTTTTTACTCAATGGCGGGACCAAGTCCAACTCAATATTAACCGCCACACAATGGACCCCGTTGAATGATGGTTGGTCTGTATTGTTCCTTGTACATCGAATGTACATTGTTTTTGCTTGCTCGTTGTAAGCATCATGAATACGAGTTTGGCTGTACAAGATCAATATTTATGCCAGGTATTTCTATCTAATTCCATGCCTTATGCACGCTCACTCGATTGCCTTGATCCATTGTCGTCCCTTGATCCTTTATCCTTGATTGAACAAGACCCTAGCATCCAATTAATTATCTTACCCCAGTATCGGGCCTGCTGCGAGCCTAGCGTCCATTGGAGGCCGCGCTAGAATTCTTCGCTCCAAGCTTACTTCACTGCCTTACCTCCCGCTACCGCATTTCATACCGCCAGCCTCGGATGGACGGGCAATGGCTCCAGATAGAATTTGGCCCAATGCAAACTATGAGCATTCCCGGGGTTTCAGGTCATGCCCTCGGAGCGGCTTCCAGGGAATCTCAACTTCAATTGGGTCTTATATGCGCTGCTGGGTTCATTCCGACATCCATCTACAGCCACCCGGACATTCACGGGTGGGAAACCCCAGTTAATAACATGACAGCTGAAGCTCGCTATGAAACGAGTCTTTTGACGGAACCTGAAGGAAAGAGACTGAGATACAGTACACATGTGGAAGCAAAGTCACGTAAGCCCAGCGGAGCTTCGGCCGGCCTTGAGAGTTAACTATGTGTTGCACATTCTAGACAGGCCCGTATTACCTCCAAGTTGTTTTTCTAGGTCCAGGTTCCCGCAAACGAAATGGATCCTTGCCGTATGTTTGGCATACATAGTATGAGGTGTTGATTACAGCTTTATACAAGCTCTTTAGGTCTGAACCTGGCATCATCCTCGCTGAACTATACCTCCAAGATGATTCTATAACAAACAATCGAGGCAGATTCAGCCTATTTCTGTTTTAGAAGGGATGAACACTAATGCGGAGGGAGGTTGTTCAACGAGCTGCCTCTTTAGGCAATTCTCTCGAACAAAGGATCGAAGCAGCGGCAAGGTTACCGTCGATGGGTGTCTCTGGACACCCTTTCTTCTTCAACTGGTCTAAGGTAGTTTCTTAGTGGCTGCCATGCTTATTCCCGCTTCCATTTGGTGGACAACCCTCAAGGCCGAAGACGAAGCAGCTGTAGCCTTAGCCTGTCCGGGCTGTCATGTCTAACACAAATGTCTCCGTGATACGATGTTATCTCAGTACTAAGTTAGTCCATCATTTTCACCACATCAACCATCACACCACTACCTAGTAATCAGTTCGCTGGAAGTTCTAGGTACATTCGAGAACCACTGTTTCTCGTAGTGATACGTTCCGGAAGCTGTATCATGGAGGTTTCGAAGTTGGCAATTCTACCCGCTTGATTTAACATGCATAACAATGTACGGATACCCAACATACGATCTATGAACGAGTTCCTCCAGAGAAACTTTTAGCTACAACTTATCCACTTGCTCCGCTCAAGTACCGTTGTTCCACTGTGTTTCCGTGGTCAAGACCGGAGGCGGCGCCATAAACCCATGCCAGCCATCGTCCCATAGCGCCTCCGAATGCATGGCTCATGAGAGCTTTGTTTCGCTCATGATCCGTCTCTGGCCGATGATAATCTGCAGAGAAGTATACATGACAAAAGAATAAGGGTTATGGAGTCTTGTTATCTTTTGATCGCATGTTCTCATTCATGGCGTTCTTAAATGGCCAAATCCGTGTTTCTTAGCAACCCTCTATCAAGCTCTCCCCACGCCCAGCCGCTCTTTGTATGCAGCTGTGCCATTCACATTGCTACGCAACGACATCAAGTTTCCTTGCATGGGTTCATATCTACATTGCACCTTAGGCAGACGTTGTTACATAAGAAGATATCGCTACACATGCTATTATTCTTGTTAAATAAGACGATATCGCAATTCTGCTCCCATCTTTGAACATGGCAGAGAGCATCTCGATGTGTCCATAACGGCCAAACCGAGGGCATACTAGGCCGAGCTTACTGGCTCGGGTTCGTCAGGCTCCCGAACGACGTTATATCATGCCAAGATAACACAAGTTCAAGGCCTATCAAGGGTTGAAATGCGCTGGTCTCGTCTTTATTGCACAACCGAGACCCCGTCTGCCTTTTCAATCATGACTGATCGATTGCTATCTCTCTCATGCCGATTATAATGCAACCCCACAGGCGCTGATAGCTGAGACCGTTTCTGTGCCCAATATGGATTCTTGCTGCTGAGGATGAGGCACACTATACGCACTCAGACCAGGCAGATGTCTAGTATCTTGTCAAGCGTAGGTACTACACGACACTACGCTACACCCGCATAAGATAGGACATGGTCCTTTTTTAGCCGGCGACCCATCGAAATAGGATGCATCTTGAGCTCTCTAGCGACATGTAAGACGGTTGAGGATTATTGCTTCAGCTCGCTGCAAGTCGCTATCGCGAATCACGAGCTTGTGCCCAACACCACACCTAGCCATTTCAAACCACACCAGCCAGCGCATGTGTTGCGCTGCGATCTCTTCCTTCAGCCCTGATCCCGGCCACCAGGTTCATTTCCTGAAAAACATGCAGCAATCTTCTGCGTCTTTAATGCGATGCGATGCGATGTAATGTAATGTAATGCGATGCGATGTTCGGCTGCATTCGTGCCGCCCTCTGCATCGACCTGCCTGCCTGCTTTGCTTCTTGTGTCTCTTCTCTTCTCTCTTGACCGTTCCGGAATACATTGCCTTATCGGTATCGCGCACCATCTGGCGTTGTGGTTGTGGTTGTAGTAGTTCCTTTTTATATGCTGTGCCTCATGCTTCCCCAGCTCTCCACCCAATGTCCTGCATATCCTCCCCTCCAGCATTCGCTGACCGGCTGCCCCTTCATCGCCGCGTCATCAGTTCTCCTTCCTCTGCCATATTGACCGGTTGTTGATATTATTTGAATATCGTACACCGCCGTTTGTTGTACTCATTCACCGAAGAAAAGACTGGTTGGAGCTTGCATTAGCCGCAGGTGCGCGTTTCTGTGTTGGCGCCCTTACGGGCCGTCCGGCGCGAGGTTTTGATATAAGTGTCTCCATCTTTCTTGATGGGTGATGTCGCCATGGATGGATGTTGATAGAACTGGGTCCGTCGCACCAGTACAAGACAGTAGAACTGTTGTGCAGGCACCAACATAAGCACACAGCCAATCTGAGCTACTCCTTTCGAGACAATACGAGCGATCGGTTTGGGGACAGCCCGACTGCGAGTCAGGCAATTCAAGAGCTGCTGCATCCCGTAGCTACTACAGTGCACATCATGGCCTTTGTTATGAAAGACAGCAGGCACTAAGGTACGCAAGTATCTCAATCTTCAACATGGGGTTTCAAAAGGGCCACTCTACAGAAGCTGCACCGACCCAATCATGACCCAGGTTTGCTTCTGCCAGATAAACTTTATGAAACACAGGGCACGGGAAATGGTTATTTGAACTCCGTCGCCCAATCATTGTCAGCCCGTAAGTCCTGAAACAATATAGTTGCATACCAGACAAGTCGTCCTAACGATCTGGAATGGTCGCTATCTTGGTCCACTTCAGAAGTTACAACTCGGAATTGCTATTAACGGCAATGACTAACGTGTCGGCAAACAGTATGTGGTATCTAATGCGTTGTAACAAAGATGAAACGTATCAAAACTCTCTAGAAACGTTCTAATGGGTATCAACTTGGATCAAGAGCACAACTTCCCCAGTCCAAGGCCATCGCAAAGTATGCAGAAGAAGTCGCTCCAGTGAAAGACAGCTCAAGACAACGACTCACAGATTTAATAGTGACAAAAACAGAAAAAGCAAAGCAGAGGCCAAACATCCCAACTCATGTTCGTTGCGCGGGTGCGAATGTCAATGGGTGCACCATCTCAATGGCCGCACCTCTCGGCAACCTTTCTCGGGCCGTTCCGACCCTCTCACTCATCAATCCTTTATGAAAAATAGCCCCTGGATTGTCGGTCCTCACTCACACCAGACCATAGTAGATCCTTTCTCCACTCACTGAAATTGTAGCCGAATGATGGAAAATAGCATGTTCTGCAGCACGTGCAGCATGACTGCCACACAGGTTGGCATCAACTCTGGCCAGACAGCTAAGTCCAGCTTCCCCTCCAGGCCTACATCGATTTGGAAGAATAGTCGGATGAGTCCTCGCACAGCGAGGCTCGCTACCAACTCACACGCCCAGGTTACCGATGAGGCGTAGAAAGTGAGGCCAAAATTGTAGTCCTCCCCCTCCGTATCGAAAGCGAAATATGGGTAAACGTCTTTGTTGGCTCCAAAGTGCAGTACTAGAATACTTCCAAGGAATGCAACCATTGAGACGTTTTCGGCAAGAAAGCGGATAAAGACATTGCGGGTCTGGAGCTTTTGGTATGAACCAAAGCTTTGCGAGTTCAGCCCAAGAATTGTCAAGAGCTTGTGCACAAATGAGGTCATCATGATGGGTGTAATGACAACCAAACCTGTTGATGACAAGATCTGAAGGGTTATGAATTGTTGTGGTGAACGCAGTCGTGCATATAGCGCACGAACGTACATCTGGTAGGTCAACATGAAGTATCTGGCTGTGGTGTCAGCAGTGGAAACAATAATATTTGCATCGATCGAGGCTTACAGTTTAAAGATCCAGCTCAAAGGATAACTTCCAACACGCTCACCCTCTCGAATTCCTAGCACCCAGCCGCTTAGCGCGTCCAGGAGGTGCACCGTTGCTACCCAGCCATAGACATACACTACTGTCTCCAAGTTATTGTGCGGTAAGGTTCGGAGGTAAATCTCTGCGTATGCCTCTCCGATCACGTATGCCATGAGGCCAATAAACAGAGCAACGCAGAACCATAAGAATCGTACAAAGCTTGCTGGCAACCACAGTCGGCGCATCCTAACGCCCTGTGGCCTCAGCTCGGGTTCAACTTGAGTTGCGTCGGCGTCGAATAGATCAGCCGTGACATTCCGGCGCCGACGGTCCCTACCGTTGAACGTGTCTGGCTCTCCGGTCCACCAGGATGTGGTAAAGATGCGTTGAGTTTCTGATAGCGAGTGACGAAGCCCGATGTGCCGCTCATTAGTCGTGAGAATGATAAAGGCGATCGTGACAGGCAAGGCCATGATGATGAAGGTCCATGAAATCCATGATGTATTGTGTACGAGCAAATAACGCGCCCTGTCATTGTAGTACATGGGTATGGGGACGGCAATGGACAAGATGGCGATGAGTGAGACGGTAAGCGGGAAACCCAGAGATTGGGGCCACCAGTTGAGGCTGTAAAGGTTGAACACCTTTGTGATCCAGATAAGAGCAGTAAGGTTGTAGAAACCATAGTAGACGAATAGAAAGAACCAAAAGTTGACCTGGACTCGAGCAGCTCCGTGACCAGGCGTCCTAGATCCGTCGGGGAGTCTATCCTCGTCCCCATCACCGATATGGTCGTCGGGAATTCTATACTGAGGAAAAGGTATAGAACACCACGCCACAGCCTGTTCTTGAGTCAGTTGGTTCTTTGTAGTTTGATTGGAGCTCCAGCACATACCAACAAGGCAGGCATCAACACCAAAAATGCATACCGGCTCCACCACTTATCAACGACCCTCTTCACCGCCGACTGTCTCGGATCAACCCAAATATCCAACACCCATCGTTGCCAAAGACGTTGCCACAAGCTCCTATCATCCTCAAGGTCATAATCACTGTCCGTATCGTCGTCATCTGCAGGAAATGCACCGTATCCGAGTATATGTACGCTGCCTCTGTTGTCTGCGGTATTCGACAAGAGGCCAAGTTGACTGCGCCTTCGAGATATCACGCCAGGACGCGGAGGAACAGCGCGGAAGCGGCCTAGGAGAGGGGCCGAGTCGTTGGGTCGGACGTGCGACTCGGTGCCCTGCGTGAACTGGAAGAAGCTGGGCATGGGATGAAGGGAGGGAGTCGGTGTAATCGAGTTGTGATATCGGGCTACATTGAAAGGCTTCGATTATATATTATGGCATATTCTGTATAGTACGTCGATGGATTGCGTCTCGGGTTCTCCAAGGCACGGTAATTGGATTCGTCGAGTATTAGAAGAATGATTATGGTGAAATGTCGGTATCGTGAATTTGGGAAGTTGGTGTTGTTTTGTCCAAGCATTAGATTGGGCTGATGTTGGTCCGTATCTCGGCTGACAATGGTAGGAATAGAACAGGGGTCCAAGGTTCCATCTCCCCTGTTATGACGCGCTACCCTTATTAGTGGCCTTCAGAGGATGAAAATGTGGGCAGGCCATTTCAGGGTCCCTTCAGGTCTTTTTAAAGAGCTTGGGGTGGACTTTCAGCTTAGATTCTCTTTCATAAAATCCAAATCTTTTTACATTTTTTCATCCAGTCACTCCTTAATCAAGAGTTTTCTTTGCTTTCCTAGCGTATAAGCATACCTTTCTAAGGGCTTCGAGGCAGTAAATGCAGTCAAGGTAGCAGCGACTATTACACCCTTTATCAGTGGCACTATGAGTGGGAGAACTGGGTAATGAGAAATGGAAGAAAGTGGAACAACACCGCATTCGCTGCGCTTGATATTACAAAATATAACTATCCATACATATCCATTAACGCCGCAGATCAACGCTTCCCATAACCCATCACTCTGAGGTTGTACTCAGACTCTCTACGAACGATTCATCATCCTCCTGCTCCTCGACAAGCACACCCCCAGTAATATCATCTGAGAAAGCCACCGTCTTGGCTGAAGCATGCTTTGCAGACGGCTCAACCAAGTCACCACTCCAAGGCTTGCATTCATTGACATGCTCACCGCAACGCAGACAGGTCCAGCCCTCGCCCTCTTCTCTCTCCAATCGAGTAGCCAAGCAGACGAAACAGTATACACACCCACAAGGTATTGTCTCATATGGGTTGGTTATGTCTGTCTGGGCTGAGCCAATAACACCACTGGATGCTGCTGCTGCCATCACTTCGTTCTCAGAAGTTGCAGTATTCTGGTCCTGGTAGCAAATTGCGCATGTTCTCTCAGGGAGGAATGCGTATTCACCATTGGCCTTGCCCTCTTCCTGAGGCCCCGTTCTGATAATGTCTTTTGTTTTCCGCCATGTCCTGGTCAGCCAGCGTCGCCATCGCTGGATGCCGATCAGGGGCAGTACGAAAAGTAAAAACTCGGTGAAGGCATGCCAGACAAGCTGCCTGTTGAGATACTCGAATGAGACCTCTCTGCTTACTTGGCTTGTGGGTGGCGCAAGTCTCATTCTGAGAATTCTATCAAGGAGGGTTCGGTACCGTCCATGCAGTAAGAAGACTAGAAATGAGACACATGCCGCTGCCGAGTGAACAGTTGAGAGGGCAGATGTCAGTTTCGATAGTCGCTTTACTCGGGGACTTGGCTCGTCGTAACCATCGTCATGCTCCAGAAGCCAGTCCTCCCATCTCGTCCAAGCATAGTTTCCAAATACTGTGACAAGTCCATAGAGTGATTTCTGCACCTTTGAGGGTGCTTTGAGTATAAGCCCATCGTTTCTGGCGTCAGTATATTTGAGGTTTTGGAGAGCCGCTCCGTATGTGGCATCGTGGTCCCAGACAGTGAGCTTGAAAAGCACCGCCCTCAGAGCCAACATAATCTCGGCTGACCAGTCATCATGCAGATGCCCTCCACCAAAATATTTGAGACCCTCGCAAACCTGGTCCTTGAGAATGTCCAAGAGCTCTACGTCGAGTAGTTCAGCATCGACTTGTCCTACTCGAAATGCAGGGCGCGTGCCCTCCCTTGTCGACACAGCATCCCACGCAGATCCTATGCGATTTAGGGGGTAAGGTAAGCGCTCGAGGTTGGCTCTAGGTCGAGAAGATTGCCGCTGTGCAGCGATGCGAGCAGTAGCTTCGGCCTCACGGGTTTGGCGACGCGCGGCGACGCGGCGTTGGGCTTGGACGAAGCTCGAGTCGGTCATTTGACCTGGTGCATACGCATGAGGATGAGGGCGTTGGTTGAGTTTCGGGTATTTGATTGGGAGTCTATCGGTCGATTTGGTGGTGGGTTGATCCGGTTACAGCTGGGTAGAGCGAGCATTCGTTTGTTGCAGGTGATAAAAGCAAAAAGGAAGCACGCAGTTCATTCAGCTCGTCTCGGTGCATCGCATTGGATCTCATCCGGGGATTGTGCGGGCCCATGCTAAAATCCCCCCATGACGCCAGGGCCGGGGGTTGTTGAGCAGAAGCCGAGCCGAGGTGTTACAGTGCCTAGGCCTTATCGGCTACTTTACCATACCGTGCGTGCATGTTCCTCCCTCGTGCCTATGTAGGTAGGTACCTGTTCGTAAAAGAGTAGAGGACGGGACTTTTTATTTTCACGCGCTTGTCTTACTCCTTGCTCATTGAGACTTGCTTTGGCGCTCGTTTCCACTCTTCAGAGAGCGAGACAACTTCTGACCTTGCGACGAGTTGCCAAAACTAACTAGCCTAAGGTCTCCTGAATTTATACTGAATTTACCGAAGTCTTTTTGCTGGCTTGCATTCCTACCTACCTATATACTAACCTACCTTAGCCACTGTGCGTGTCTCTCTCTCTCTGTCCCCGTCTAAGGCCGGGCCATAAGCCGGGACCCTCTCTTTCCCCCCTTGCTCCAATGAGGAGAGGGTGCCATAGCTGGAATGGCAGTTACACAGAACTTGAGATGGCAAGTGCGGCTCAACTCGTCCCAAACCGCCTCCAAACTTCTGTGCCTCCGGAAAGCACATTTCCTCCAACAAACTTCGGCCGATTCCATCAAATCATGAAACTCAAAAGACACTTCGTTCTTAGAGCATCACACATCGTCGATAGACCAAACGTTAAGCAGGCTCTGAGGAAGATTAGCCACACTTACTTGGCAGATTTCAGCTATGGATGTACATATGTTTGAGGCTTGACCAGCGACCAGCAATCAATGGTGCTATGATATCTCCGATAGCCCTGTATGCAACCAGTATGTCCCAGACACCTGGGAGCTGGGACTGACGACTAGCTGCATGGGCACTGTGTTACACAGAGTTCCTTTGGAAAAAGCAATTTTTATATTGGCTGTGCTGCAGTTGCATCTGCATCACGACTCTTTTGTTGACTTCTTACACGTCAGAAACGTGAATCCTCCAGCTGGCGACCAAGCATCTCCTCCTCTGTGGATACCATTCAAACAATCAGAGCTCGAGTTGCTAGCTGATGAGACAGTGGCTGCTCTTGTGACTATGTATATTGCCTACTGTCTTAAGAGAGACGGGAGCTTTGAAAGGCCCGCTCCGAGCGGCGGTTCAAGAGCTATCCAACAGTATAGACTAGTCTGCCTTTGCTGGTTAGACTTCACTTTAACGACAACCCTTCAACGCATAATCGAACAACACGAGTACGCCGTCTAGTATGTCTCTATGAAAATCCCCGAGTGCTAGAAGCATCAGCAACCCGGTTCTCGAGTCAGAGTTGCCATCATCGAGTCGGGAGCGGCCCATTCTTGGCCCCTCTTCACTCTCTTGATTTGCGAACCTAACAACGTGAGACCAATAACATGGTCACTTGAGTCACAGCTGCCATAACTACCAATGGATAATGGCCGAAATGGAGATGCAGGCGGCCGTTTTCTGACAGATCTTCCATCTACCTGGTCCTTGACTGGGAACATATATCCACGCCACATACCTCCCTGGGCCAACATGACTGGAGGAGTCAGGTATTACAACATGGTTCCGAGATTTGAATCTAACTCAACTACCACCTCTTCCAATCATGATGCGTTGGATCATTTGCTTTTGTTTAAGCCTGACGACCATCTTCTCTGCCCTACGCCTCCACCACGTTGCACCTGTACCATGTATTTGTATTGACCTCGTAGTTCCATCCACCTCTTTCCATTTCTAATTCCTTACTATGCGTGCATATATTCCATGGCTCCGGCACTTGCCACAAAACCTGTCCAATCTGTTGGTTCTTGACAAACAAGCTTAGTTTAGTGCCACAACACATCCTTTATAGATTTAAGCCTACCTGTTGGGCCCTACCGTCGGTGTTTGCCAACAAATCGAAACCGTACGTTGTCTTGAGATCTCCTTTCGTCATCACTTGCATGGCCCGGTTCGTCGATCAAACTATGGCAAGTTCACCACGAGACGAAGTTTCACCTGGGGTTGAACTCAGCTCGAGTCAGAAACAAGTTAGTACGGGAACCTCAAAAACCCAGAAGCGTGTCTCTTCAGCTTGCGATCCTTGCCGTTCTAAGCATATAAGGTGCGATGGGGTCCGGGAGACATGCACTCGATGCAAAGAAGAAGGCAAACTGTGTCATTATACCAAGTCACGTCGAGGGTTCCGAAACACAAAGAAGACAAGTATGAAGAAAGGAGAAGCTTTGGTGAACGATCAAGATGACACTGCAGAGAGCACACCGTCGCCAGGACTTGCTGGGCCCGGCATTCCGTTCCCTCAAATGATACCTTCCACACCTTGCAGTACTATACATCCATTCGACCTCTACTACACCAACTTTCACGTCGCCCACTCTTGGCTACCCCCAAGAAAGAAACTGGAGGATCTCTGCAAAACGCAACCAGAAAACTTGCGTTTCCTCGTTGCCACAGTTACCTACATTGGGTCTCTTTACTTGGACAAGGTCGACAACACACAGCTACAACAGAATGCCTACCAGATGTCGCATGGCACCCTCTCCTTAACAATCTGGTCTGTTCAGGCACTGCTGTGTCTTTCTGTCACAGCGTTCGGGAAACTGCATTTTAATGTTGGCCAAAGTATGTTCAACAAAGCCTGGGCGCTGGCTTCTTGTATGGGACTTCAGAGCAAGGAGTTCGCAGAGGGAGAAACAGATCCAGTCCTCGCTGAATCATGCCGCCGGACATATTGGGGATTATATACCCACGAAATGCTGCTTGGTTTGCGACAGAATCAGTATCATTCAACCCTCTACCCTCGTGGGCCCAGTTTGGTGGTAGGACTTCCATGTGAGGATTGGGACTACCAGGCCGGTGTACGTATTTCTCGTTCGAGGTAGCCACTTCACGCTGACTTTCCATTAGAATATTCCAGCCCCAATAACTCTTGAAGAGTACGATCGCCTCGGCCTCTCTCGCGAGTACTCTTCTTGGGCCTACTTCGTTGATCTTATTCGCATATACGATATTCATGTGGCCCCGTTTCTTCATGATTGTAGCCAGGCAGCCCCGCACAACCTCAAGTATGCAAGTCAGCGTATCGATTCCTGGCGATTTAGAATCAACGACTGGAAGAAATATCACGTTGGGGAGGATGGTATGTTTGATATGATCCTATATCATGCGGTAAGTTCTTTGACTCGTTCAGGAGCTAGTTCAGCTACTCACAGTTTATCTTGCAGTTAGTTGTCTCCTTTGGGTAAGTCAAATCTCTCTATAAAGTCGTTTCCAGAAGGCTAAATCTCTCCAAAGACTCGAGATCCGGATGCAGGCCCATCTCTACGGGTACTGGGATGAACATTACGCGGCTTCATTACTTCACAGTGTTGCTACAGAACACGACGCTCAGTCGCCACTGGCTCTCCAAGCGCCGTTGCGTCTGATGGCTCTTCTTGGCTCTCAGCTTGTACCAGAGAAGTTCTCCCCTTCATGCCTACTTGATTTGGAACAAGCAGTCTCGCCTTTGTGCCATGCTGTGCTCCACAGTGCAGGGCAGCCAGATTACAGATCCAGAGTTTTGTATCTGGCAGAGTTCCTGAAAAAGTCTGGGGAATTTTGGCCCAGGTCGAAGGTGTTGTCTGACATTTTCATGGAGACACTGGGCAGAGGTGGTCATGAGCATGTGTATATGGAACCTTCTCAAGCTATCTCGGCGTTTGGTGATAGACCTACGTCTACAGCCGAAGGAGAGTCTCTCTGGCCCAGGTCGCCCACATTAGAGCATATGGGTGGTTGGTCTGGGCTGCCATCATACTCGCTACAATGTGAGCCAGAGACGAGAGACGTGGCTTGGGTAGGAAATCTAACTCAAGCTCCTGGCGAAGATATGGCAGCCCCGGATATAACCGCCGAAACAGGAAGTTCAGTAACGAATATTTACATGGAAGCAGGGTGTTTTGGTGACAAGCCGACGGGAGGCTTAGTTCCTGTGAAAGTAGAGAAGTGACGACAATGCGTCTTTGGTTGTATGTACATAACTAGATAATAGTTTGACCTGCTCTGGAGGAGAAATGCTAGTGAATTTTACCCGGATTCCTAAGTCTCGTTCAAATTGATGGTACAAAAGAGATATGGTCGAGATATGGAAGGTCGGTTTACACTTAAATGCTTGCTTGGTCAATTTTGTCTATGGGGCACGAATACCTGGATATTTTTGAGCTCAAGTGGAAATATTGTAGCTTCTGTAATTGTAAACTTGACCACCGAGGAAAATTCAGTAATATCCATGAATACCTTGGTAAATTGACAGCTGGAAAGAAGTTGGTGTTGGTTATTCTTTTATTGACGTCTAATTAAGATGGTGACCGTTGATACCCTAGACTTAAAATAAATTGGCCACGAGGTCTCGGCCAGCCTCTATATGTCCCCACTATTGACAGGCGCTAGGCAGCGCGACAAGGGTCGACAGTATAGGTACTTGGTGATAAGATAGAAGCTAGTAGTAGTCTTCTGGTATCGATTGATCAGTAAAGGCCATAACAAACCGCGGACTGTAATTTATATTAAATATAATCTTAAATATAGAGTTAATTGAACTAAGAAGCTGAGTTATAGGTAGTGTAATAAATATTAAACTTCAGTATCATCTACCTTTCCTTCCATCCCCAGTGTCCTTGTCCTTCCCCGCAGGTACCTTTTGACTTGGTGGGTACCTAGACCATGTAGGTCCATTTGCCGCCTCGCCTACCATACCTTGCTCTTACATCATTCATAAGACAACAACCTAACAACATCAACCTCATTTTGACGCCCATTCACGACCTGGCACATCAAGCGCACTCCCGTCGATAATCACCGTGAATGATCACCACAACTGCCGATGACTCACCGCTCCTAAAACTTCCGCCTGCCTACGCTAAGGGCGCCGCCAGTCAGCGCTTCACGATCTAACTTGGCGCATATTGTTATCTCACATTCTACACTATAAATACGGCACTTTCACCATACATCTCGCTTATCTGATGCGACCGGACGTCGAGTTCGTATACTTCTTGAACTGAGGTGACGTGACCTTAACGTCTGCTCGTGTGCGACCCTGCCATACTCGAGCACCGAAGGTGAACAACATGGGATCTTCGCGCCAGCGTGAGCTTCGACCCGAGGACTCGTGGCGCTTTGTTGAAGGGGAGAACGACAGTTTCGACACAAGTATCCTCCCATCGCTTGGGGAATCATCACCACCTACATCCTCAGGCAACGTACCCTCACAACCGTTTTCCCAAGGAAATCTTAGCTTCGCATCACAGGACAGCATTCGCGATTTTGGGGCAGACCCAGACGACGAGCAGGTCATTCTACGAGAGCCGTTCAGGCCGAGTCTTTCGCGCGCAAGTGTGAGCGCTAGCGGAGAGCGAGTCTTTCGATCACCCGATCCAGAATTTCACATGCCGCGCATCGATACTGCGAGTGAGAGCAGTAGCAGGAGTGAGCGCACGATAAGAGGACTGGGAATAGGATATGGCGGCAATGAAGGCGTGAGGAGAAGAGGAAATCCACCACATTCGAGTCCTCCTAAGCAGAGGAATGCGCGCGCAAGATATGAGACCGAGGATGGATATCATCGCCGCCAATACCGCGAACAGCCACCGCCAACAGTTGGAAATCAAATCGCTCAAAGCGTCCCAGCGGCGATATACAACACACTTGGATGGTTTCTCAACGTTATCGGGCTAGCATTCCGCTACGCTCAGAAACCTTTTGCGATTCTACTGGCTATCTATCTTTGCTTTGGTGGTCTTATTATTGCACAGAACATGGCAACTCGCTCTATCGCCGCATCCCTATCTCCTCTTTGCCGTATCCCGGGCGCATCGCTACTGAATCTTCCGTTCTGTCCTTCTCTGGATACGATAGTACCTGCTGGAGGTGATGGCTCACCCGTTGAGTTCGATGATCTCATGAATGTGCAGTCAAAGTTCGAGCAAGTTCTTGAAAAGAGCTCTGATGGTGTCTCGCTCCCATTCGAGATGAAAAGATCCGAAACGGCCATCCGAGATTTACGCAGCCTTGTGCGACACAGCGATCTACAAGCTCGCGATGAGTTGCTGTTTGAGTTCGACGGTTACATCGACACGGCGAGGCAGACGTCTTCGGACTTGCAGAAGTTCAACACCCATGTTGGCTCTGCTGTTGATGCTGTCATAAGCATCAATCGCTGGACATCTCGTTATCTCGACACTCTATCCCCAGAAACAGACGATGGGAAGTCGCTTTCCTCACCTTCACCTATTCTTGGCTGGGCGTCGTGGCTCTTTCACCCATTCCAGCCAACTACAGATCATATTTTCAACGAGCGAGTTCTCCTAGACAAGTATATTGAACATACGGCTCTTGTCTCGGATCGTATCGCGACCCTTATCCTTGAAGCGCAGGCCGTTCTGCGCCTGCTTACAAAAGCCGAGGATCATCTGATGCTCATCTACGACATCAGTTCTCGCTCCTCTGCCGATACAGCATCTCGTCGTGAAAACGTCCTCTGGAATATCTGGACACTTGTCGGTGCAAACTCGAACCAACTCAATAGCCTCTCCCGCCAACTGGCTCTTCTGCGCCAGGTTGATGCACAGCGCTCTTCAGCAGTTGCACAGGTCAACGCGCTTATGCTCGAACTCGAGAGCATTCAAGCCGGTCTCGGCGATTTGCGTGACCGTGTCGCTGAGCCTGAGGTGCTTCGCAATGGTATTGGTAGTGGACCCCCAATCCCTCTGAGCGTGCATATTGAGACTATTGATCGAGGCGTCGAACGTCTGGAGGATGCAAGAAGCAGAATTCGTGCTGCCGAGAATGATCGCGTTCGAGATGCACTTGCTAGAGGCGGAGTCCGTAATGAGCCGTTGCTGGAGGGTAAAGGAAAGCGTGGCGAAGGGAATTGAACAGTGCATTATGACCATATACCGGAACCTAGGGACTTTGGATATTGGGCTTGGATTATGTTTGGCGTTTGGAGCGTACCTAGACCGAGAAATATGAACGATTCGACCCTTCAAATATATATTGGTGCATGCAGGGGAATAGCTACTACTTGGAAACACTCGATAGTCTGATCTACAATATAAAAATCTTGGTCATTTGATAGTGCTATTCGTTTTGTTTCATATTGTGATTGTATATTGCTTGGATATATGCTTTATTGATGCATATTGTGAACAACACATAGGTAATTAGATGGGATGCCATTGCTAGCCCACTGCTCTGCACCTCCTATCGTCTCAACGAGCCCCTGTATATACAATACTCGTAAATCCAACCAACGCCTCATTAAATGCCTTTCCAATGCACCAATGTACCCGAAAAAAGTCGTATAACCAATGGCCTTACCAGATCGGCCTAGATCCCAAAACCCTGCCCATCACATGAACGCCTGACCTATGCTGCCCCATCAAATGCAAGAGATGATTTCTGACCATGATATTTATCAAAGCAGAATTAGAAATAGCCTGGGAAAACTTTTGAGAGTGCTCGTAGCCCTGTGACCACGTTAGTGTATGCCTTTACGTCCATTTAGATAAACGACTTACATATCGCCCTTTGAGAGTCCGGATCGTCGAAAGGCGCGTTCTTGGCTGCAATTTCACGCATGCGTTGTCGAGCAAACGAAGAAGGACTTCCACGTCTTGGCGTTGGATCCGTATTCAACTCGGAATTCTCTGGCTGTGTTGGGAGCATATTCAAAAGTCGAGGTCTGGGTCTCCTTGTCTTCGGAATCTGGGCTGGAGCTGGTGGGCGGGTGTTTGCTTCTGCTTCTGGCTCTAGTTCTTGGGATTGTGCGAGTGTGGACGATGCTGGTGGCGATTCTACTCGTCCCTCATCATTTGTTGCTGTATTTGTAGCAGGCTGTCGTCTGAAGTTAGGTAGCTTCAAATTAACAAGTGGCGACGAGGAAGGCCTTGAAGGTGACGGTGAGGTTCGGAATAGTCGTTTACTCCAGTCTTTCATCGTTGTGTTATCACCTTCCTCAGACAAATCCTCGAGGTCGACTCTTTGACGTAATTTTCTCAGAGCACGTTCTCGACGCACCATTCCGTTCGTGATCCTTGGACTGTAACCTCTGGGCAGCATCGAATGCTTGCACATAGGACAGAGAGAACTGTTCTTTGACAAAAACTCGTCGATACATTCGGGATGGAATATGTGACCGCAAGGAAGCTCCCGAATAATTGTGACTCGGTGTTCGAAGTTGGTGAGGCAGATGTGGCAACTAGGTTGGAAATTAGTAGCAGCGTTGTCGCCCGAGGCTCCGATGTTGGATCTTTTGCTCCGGACACTGGCACCGGATCGTATGCTGCGCTGATCGAATCCTCGGCTACTTCGCATGCGTCGTGTAGATGATGGGGTAGGAGGAGGCGCTGTCGAGTCCGGGTCCGCGTTGTAAGTAAATAGAGGAAAGCTGGTGATATGGGTAGCAGGTACTGTCAGGCGTTTAATTCCCATGGCTTCAAGATCGACTTCGCCAGATTCAACTCTTTTTCGAAGTGATATACGTCGTCTTCGCTGAACAAGGTGCATTGTTATCGAGACGAATGCAAATATGGCAAGCAAGGCACCAATCACTATGAGGAAGAACGCCCATAGTGGTGGAATATCAGACTCGTCCTGAACGCTGAGTTCGGTCCAAATACGGACATAATCCTTCGGGTTCGGGCCATATAGTGTGCTGATATTTTCGCCGTAAGGTATGTCGTCCACGCTGCCTGAATAGTAACTGAGTTGTCGCATCATATTCTGGCCTTCTTGACCAGAAATAGCGTAAATCGGATATTTGTTGACGGTCATCCAGGCTCCACCATCTTCCAGATTCCAAACAGGCGAGTCCGCATCTTGCGGTTGATTTGATGAGTTGTTAGGTTTGTAAAAGATGAAAGCACGAATGGGGTCGAGACGCGCAGAAGCAAGGTAGGCTAGGGTACAGTCGATGCTGAACCACGGCGCAAGAGCGATGAGGTTGTA